TAAGTGCAAAGAGTTGTTGAGATTTGGGGAGAATACAAGTTTAATTAATAATAATTATTATCATGGTTTATGAGAATTACATAGGTAATGGAATGTACATATATATTTTCCTAGTTGTTTACTTGACATTAGATTCTTTATTATTAGGTTTCTATTACAACAAGGACAGCTGCTGATGATTTTAGCACCCAGTACCATTTTGATAGAAGCGGTCATATAATTTCTCAGAAGCCATCTCATCTTGGAACAGGTATGGCTTTTAGTCCCTTTATATATCTATATTTAGATCATTAGTTCAGGGCCATGAGTAACTCTGATTCTTCTGTTTCATATAAGAGAACAACAATTGGATAATATTTTAAAATTTGAATTGGTAATTAAAATTTCTCAGAAGCCATCTCATCTTGGAACAGGTATGGCTTTAAGTCCCTTTATATAACTATCTTTAGATCATTAGTTCAGGGCCATGAGTAACTCTGATTCTTCTGTTTCATATAAGAGAACAACAATTGGATAATATTTTAAAATTTGAATTGGTAATTAAAATTGTGGTTTTCAAAATAACAAGACTTGATGAGTCAGACATGAAAAAACACACACCGAATTGAGATTTTACTCATGAAGTGTACTCATATTCTTTCAATATGTATAACTCTTTATAAAATTGGTTCTAGACATGAGGGATTCTGCAATGAAAAATTCAGCACAAGGAAAACTACAGCAAAGGACCAGGTGTGCCCTTGAGGTTGTGTTAAACAGGAAAGCAACTTCTGATTGTTTCAGTTACATATAGTCTTGGATAAAACTGATTAACTATGCAACGAAAATTATTATTTAATCAAAATTATAGAGTTGGCAGAGATCTCAAGGTTAATTTACTCTAATTGTAATTGTTCAGTATTCATGCTTTCATGATCTACACTTAAGAATGACATCCAACTATTTTTTTTTATGTTTTCAGTTCTCTGAATAAAACAACTAGGACCAAATTTTCTAACTTTTTAGTACCAAGAAATGACACAAGCTCAAAATAGAAGATGGTAGATTGTTTTTCTCTGCCCAGAAGTTTTACATTCCAGAACCACTGCATTTCTTGAGGGGCTTAAATTTAACTTTAGTTAAAATATTTAGGGAAAAAATCTCAAAATTTATGGCATCAAAGTGATGAAAAGGGTCAATCTTCTTTGAAATTTTAGTGTCTTATGGATTGCAAAATTTGAGAGTTTCTGTTTATTTGCATCAGTATGACTTGCTGTGTTTTTTAACTTTGCTGAAATACTACAGCTTTTAGCAGTAGCAATAGCACTTAGACTTATATGTCGCTTCATAGTGTTTTATAGTGGTTTCTAAGCGGTTTACAGAGTCAGCATATTGCCTCCAACAATCTGGATCCTCAGTTTACTGACCTCAGAAGGATAGAAGGCTTGAGCCTGTCAGGATTGAACTCCTGACAGTGAGCAGAGTTAGCCTGTGCAATACTGCATTCTAATCACTGCTACACCAGTTCTTTTTGGTATACAACTACTTGACTACAACTACTTTGATATTTCTCAATTTAAAGAGCTAAAAGAACAAATTATCATCAGAACCGATAGATGCAGCCAAGGTCAAAGTAGATGCTGTCATTAAAGGCACTTATTAACATTTTAAAAGAATAAAAGGATATATTAATAGAATCGAAAGTGCATCTCTGTAAGTTAATTTTCTTTGCTTCTCTCTTGCTCTTCTTGGTAGGGACAACTGTAACAGTTCAAAAGCTGTTCAATAATCTGCCTGTAAGAAAACAGTTTTATTCTATAGATAAGAAATGTAAGGAAGAAATAAAAAAGATCCAGAAGCTGTTGATGGCATATGGCATTATAAAACCAGAACTAAGGATAATGTTTACGCATAACAAGGTAATAAATTTATAAAATTGCTGTGTCTCATAATCAAAATCTGCTTTTGCTTTTCAATAAAGAACCCTGCCATAATCTCTGCATGGTTATCTCAAAGACAAGAGTGACATCTAATGGGCAGATGAAATTTATTGAAATATTTCATGTTCCTACTGTTGAAAAAGTGCTTCTTTTTATATATGTTTGTGTATGTTTAGTTTTTGAAAATTTTAGGTAATATTCTTTTAATGAAAAAGAAATATGATCCTGGAAAGAACATTGATCATGTATGTTTACTCAGAGCTACAGCAGTCTTAGGGCTAAATAAATCCAATTCACAATTGTTTAGAAATATTTGCTACAATGGAAAGTTACCTTCCGGTCCCCTTCAAATTGCTTATTTTACCTTCAGCTGATTCATTCATGGTCCAAGTTGGTTTTGCATAGCTCCATGGCATTGAGATGATACTGCAGAAACAAATTACACCTCTGAACACACTTAAAGGAAAAAAGGACAAATATTTCTATACATTGTTGGGAATATAACTTTCACTTTTAACGCAAATTAGGGTCAAAATATAAAATGCATTCATAGCCTTTAGGGTAAACAGGGTAGAAACTTACAGTTCTTGAAAATAAAAGCTAAAACACAGATAACATATGTGTTTTTGGCCAAAAATTTAATATATGCTACCAGACAATGCTTGATCATCTTGTTTTTCTTTTTTTCCTTTGAATTTCTTGAAATGGATCCAGACAGTATAATCCTATATTTGTAGCCATTTCCTCTATTTTCAACAATACATCCTTTTTTTAAAAAATGGCTTCAGTTAAGGAGGAAACAAAATAGCTGCATGTTATTTCTTGCCAATGCTGTAGGAGCAACCCAACAATAGTAAGAAGAAGATAGTTTTGGAAGAGCAGCAAATATTTACCATAGAGAATTGTAATGTCATGAAATTGGAGATATTTTCACAGGTGATGATAATAATCAAATCTGAGCAAAATATCAAATTATTTTAATTTAGATTCAGTACTAACAAGTTGTAAAGTTGTTGATCTCAGCCTGTTGCCTCTTTTTTCTTTGTTAATATGGTTATTGAAAGCATAGTTTTAAAACTTTTAACACAAGAGGTCGCTCATTAGCTATGGCACTAATTGGAACAAAGCTAAATACATAGCCAGAATAGACTTTTAATTAACAAATCCATTTAATTATTATGGAGGGAGAGCTTTGCATTCTGTGATCTTTACTACCATCATTTTGTATAGATACAGTAAACTGATCTGAATAAAAGATACAGGTTTAGGTTATGTAAGAGCACATTTAGACTGCTCTTTACATTTTATTTTTCTTTTGTTCTAGTACTCAGGTTTATTTATTCTTTGTATTTGCTTTTTACTCTCAAAGTTTGAAGGAGGTTTTCATTTTTTTTCTTTTACATTTTTACATGAGTGCATCTATAGATTTATATCAGAGAAGATAAGATATAGGATATAATAAAAGGCTGAAATTAGGCACCCACATGAATAATTAGAGTGGCATGAAGGTTAGAGATCATGGACAAACATAAAATGTTTTTGAAATTGGTAGCATAGGAGTTTATATTGGTGTAATAAAAAAGGCTATAGTTGCTATATAGAACTTAATGACAATCTTGTTAGTCTATGTACATTCTAATCCTGAATCCATCTTCTTTATGTAGAAAGAAGTGAAATAGCTGGTTGGAAATGAAAGGGACAAATGTTAGACAAGATATTACGGTTATGTTTTTGAATCTGAAATTGTATTATAAGTGTCAAGTGCCAGGAAATCAGGAGATCCAGGCAGTTCAAATGGATAAAAGATTTGCTGCAAGCTTAAGCTCTCTGCAAGAATCTGAACTAAAGGTCAAAGCAATTTGGCAGTAGATAAGGAATTCAAGGTGGGCTGAACTTAGATCGCTTGTGAGCACAAAGGAATTCATGACTGATGACCGTTTGACTCGTCTCTCAGGCTCAGCCTGGTCATCTCCTGACCTACATCAAGCCTTTGAATGTTTGAAACTTGAATTAAATTTACCCTTTGAATGTTATTGTAATCTCATGCATTATGTGGCAGAAAATCCATGCAAAGTTTTACATGCTATGAACATGTCTCTCAGTTTCTGTTATACCGGCATGTATATAGCCACCGAATTATCATGAACAAAACTGAGGCACTGGTGTAATATAGAGATGGGTAATAAGTCACTATCGCAGAAGTACAAAAGTATTTATGGAACTGTGCTGGGGCAACTCATTGGACATTATAGATTATATAATTATACATATACAGTACACATGGCTTGCCAGCTGACAACAACAAGATGGAACAATAGTTGAGCTAGGGAATGGAATGGATAGGAGTATAATGTTGAATTGGACATAGCTGACTGGCTGAAAGTGGAGCCTGTAGTGGAATAAAGAACCACTGTAGTGGAATAAAGAACCAGCAAGTAGACTGATTCTTTGTAATACCTCTCTGGACAAGCTGCTTTTCAGCTATTAGGAACATTTGGATTGACAGATCGGGTGAGTTTCTTTCATCCTTTAGTGAAATAAAATTTAAATATAAGTATAAAGATTTTTTAAAAAGACATCAGAAAAAAACCCAATGAATCATTAGAACTTTGATTTTGGAAGGTTACAAATAAAGATCCAGATGGATTTGAAATAAAATTTTGGAAAGAAAATAAAAAAGAGAAGAAAACTTCTATTTTTAGTTTGTATTAGTTTTTTATCATTGTAATTTTTAATAACATTAAAAAAGATATAGATGACTATTGAATATAATCAGTCATCCTTAGGGAGTTGGGTAGTCATCTAAATCTTATAAGTAAATAAATAAATAGAGCACAGAGCATGCCACACTTCATGATTGCATTGTATCTTGTTCTACTGTTCTAAAAATGGCTGTGAACTTTCCTCTTGCATATAATGCTTTCATCACATGGTACATCATGTAGTAAATTAATTTATGACTTATTAACATATATTTATCCTCTTTTGGAATCTCATCAGATATGTAATGTCCTATAGAAATTTGGCTGATGCATTTATGGCACTGTCATTGTTTCTGGAGATATATGTGGACTTTACAATAAATATGTATTTTCTGCAAACATATAAGGAACATTGTACTGATAATAAAACCAGAATATTCATGAATGTTACTATTCCCTGCAATTGGAAGCTGGAGAAATATGTTATTGTCATTGGTTGATTCCCAAAATCACATATAACCTCCTATGGCCAGCCTCCTTCTCTAAATTGTATTGAAATAATGCATAACTGTGGTATAATCACAATTGGTAGGGATTTTTCCTTAACTCTGTTGCATTAAGAATGGTTAAGAACTCAAGAATACTCATATATGTGTGTGTGTGTGTGTGTGTGTGTATTCATATTCTTTAAAAACCAAAAATACAAAAATCTCATTTCCATTAACAGTTATGAGATTTTTGTATTCTAGGTTTTTAAAGAATAAAAATTTATTTTAAAAAAAGAACTCAAGTATATTCAAAACAGTTACTGGATTGATATTATTCCATATCCTCTCCCTATCCCTGTTCATTTCATTTCTGAAAACTTTTTAAAGCACCATGTGTGCTTTTATACCCTCCTCCCTTTTCCCCATAGATTGACAAACGGCAACAGAATGCCTCTTGGTTTGCTTTCTTAGTAATCTTGATATTTTCATATTATTGAACCTGAAAACCTGGGATAATTATATTTTTTAAATAATGTTTTGTTTTGCGTTAAATAATGGTTTGCTGAACAGACAACCCTTGGAACTACTGCTGTTTTGACATCCTAGATTAGGTTGTGTATCATCTTTTTGTGAAGGTTTATCCTGCCAAGGCATTCTTTGAATACAGATAATGTTGATACTCCTGCCACTGTGGTTGTATTAGAAAGAGGTATTTTTTCTCTTTCATCATCATCTTCCTTGAAAGCAAACTGAATGATATAATGATCACAGTGAGGTCATTTCTTATCATTTTTATTATGGTTTTTTTAGGTTTCTGTTATTGGAAGCAAAAAGGATTGGGAGTATTAGATGTTTATTTCTTGCCTGTTAATGAATATTAAAAAAAAATCCTATATTTTCACACTACCTGGAAATTTTATCTGCTTTTTGTTCTGTGAAGGAGATGTGACTTCTAGGAATCTGAATTCCCATTTGTGTTTGAGGAAAACAGTTTCAAATTCTTTGCCACTTAAAATATTTCAAATTAGTAAAGTTACTAGAAATGATAGCAAAATTGATTGGGTGCACACAAGAATTGCTGCTTATATTTTGTAAGTGTGAAGCAAATTGGGATTAATGTTAGCATTCTTAGTCCATTCCAAAATGGGAGCCTATGGAAGGTTATTTGTACAACTGAGTTGTCAGACTTTTTTTCTTTTTGAAATGATATAACAAATTGAGATGGCACCTTGTGGCTAACTATAACTAGGATTTCCCTAGTCGCTTTCCAGAGGGTCCTACTAAAATAGTGTTAATGGGAATGTTTGAAAAAAATGAGAGCACATATCTATGTGAAAAAGGAAAGAGGAAGCTTGTTTACCAGCATAGGAAAATCTTATTGATTAGTAAATGTATGTGGAGAAGATGGACACCTGTCTACTAGGAAATGACTGAGACCAACTCATCTTACTGTCTCTCAGCTGTTAAATATTTAATGTAACAACAACACCCCCCCCCCAACAGGTTGAATGTGAAGTGTTGACCTAAAGGTGACATTTTTGTATCCTATTACCAGTTCCTTCACTCATCTTGTTTCTCATCCATCACATTTTTTAAATGGCAGCATAGCATTTACAGCAGAAAATTATATTAGCTGCTTGCACAAATAGTAGTGGGTTCAGTGTAAAATGTGAAAACGTCTTTCTTCAGATCCTGTGGGGTATATCAATTATTTTAAAATTCTTGTGGGTTGTATCAGTTATTTCAAAATCCTGTGGGAAAGAGCAAATGTCTTTGTCAAATAACATGAGAAAGAAATTTGGGGACTTTTTTCATTTTTGTATTTAGTTATACAAATATTAGTTGCTGAACATTATACTGGGATATCAGTCAATTTTTCTTTTTTTTCTTAGAAAAAGGCAAAAAAAAAAATACTCAGGTTTCTTTCATATTTCCATATTGGCTCTGATTAAGAATTGGCACTGATCAAGAATTGCCATTTGAATTTAAAAATTGTCTTGGAGATATCTTCTGGAGGACACAAGGGATTTTTAATACTTGCCTTTTTTCCCTTAGTTTTAACTGCTAAATGGATGCAAAGAGAGAGTGAGATGATGCCTAGAGGCAGAAGCTTTGAGAGTATACTCTGTCACTCTCCTGCCCTCAGACAAAATGATAGATTGGGGGCCTGGAAAGGGACAGCATGCAGGCCAACATATTTCCTAATACTTTGCAAAGAAACTCCAAGAAGTAAAGTGACCGAATTGCTTAGATCATAGAGTATTAGAAGACAAAGACTGAATATGGTCAGAGGGACATGAGATACTAACATCTGTATGTTATATAACACTGCCCAAAGTCATCTTATATGGGAGATGTGCCTATAGTTTACATACATACATATATCATATACATACATACGTACATACATACATACATACATACATACATACAGTGGTAATACAAATTCTCATTCAGCACCATTCTGTTCAAGGTTACCCAGAATGTTTTCAGGAAGAGTAAGTGGAATGGTTCTCCTGCACACTACTGTAATGTATTTGTGAGAATCCATGTGAACAAATCACTTGTATTTAGCTCAAAAGTGGATGTCGATTGGATAGAATATAGTGAGTGGTTTGGCGAGAAATATTGCAAGGTTATCTGACAATGTTTTCAATTTGCGGAATTCAAGGAAGTGAGTAGGGTTTTTGTAATATTAGCTTTACTTTTTGGGGTGGAGGGGTGGATTCATGATCTGCTTGGCTTCTTCTGGTATAACTAGGAGGAGATTTCCAGATATAGTACATGAAAAGTGCTTCTTTATGACAAGAAATGGTACCATTGTCCTTGATGGAAGCAATAAAGTATTTACTCCTGAAGTTATTTCTGAATCCAACCATGTTAGATAACTTTGTCCTGTCCCCAGGCTTCCCTTTTTGGAAGAAGCTTTGCAGAATGCAGCAGGGCATAGAGAGCCCTAGATGAAGCAGAGTATCTTAATTCTTCCCAATTTGGTTCAGACCTGATAGATTTCCAAATAGTGTTAAATATCATCAGCCATGATATCTTTCTGGACTGTTACAAGAAGTGAGTGTGCTCTTTATGATGTTTCTGAGTAGAGAGTTTCAGTCCATAGTTATAGGAGAGGAATAGTTATGGTTGTTCCCGTGTAATGTATCTCAAGGGTTGACTATCCATATTATTTTAACATCCATACGAAACTGTTAGAAATGTTCATCCGTTGATTTTGGATGAAGCATCATCTTTTATGTTGATAATATCTAGTTATACCCTGTCACTTCACACCAGCAATAATATAGTTGAGATCCTTGCTGAATACATGGAAGCTATGAGAGACTGGATGAAATGAGAACAAACAAACAACTTTTTACAGAACAAACCTGGAATTTGTATTTTCTGGGTCTCGCTCTTTTTTCATGTCGATGTTGTTTACTCTGTTTCCTCTCCTATGGAAAAAGGGGAGTCTTAATTTTTATTAGGATGTGATTGGCTTTTGCTTAACTTGGCTAGAATTATTCATACAGTGGCTCAGCAGTCTGCACTCTTTGGACTTTGGATCTCTAATGGTCTCTTTCACTAGCCATCTCATCTGTCCAACACTTTTCTGTCATCTGCTTCTCCGGAATACCTCCCCTTTCAAAAGAAGGATTCAGATGAGCAAGGAGAAATCTGAGTCTGCCAGTCCTGGAAGAATCTGTTCTTAGCACTGACAGTGGGAAAATCCAGCAGGAAAATTAATTTTCAAATCCTGCAGAGCAGACCCAAGGATTTATTTATTGTCTCAGTTGATGTGCTGTGATTTGAGATTTGTAACACAAGATATGCTAAGAAACAACTTTTTTTTAAAAAAAAAATGTGGCTTGTTAATTGAGGACACTGAATTCATCTTTGGAATTTACAAGTACTTTGCAATGCTTCTATGGATCCAAACAACTCCTGATGATAGTATTATTTTTCATCAGGCATTAGTTTTCAGTGGTACACATGGCCTCATCTGCTTACAAATTTTTAACACAAGTTTCTAAAATTAGTACTTTTAAAACAGGTATGTCCATCTGGCAGTCTGTGGACTAGATCTGGCCTCTTAAGCAATCTATCTGGACTAGAAGTAGCTTTCTTACATAAAAATGTGAGATATTTTTACTCTGGAGTACATTGCACGTTGAGTTGTGTTGGGATTAAAACCTTAATGGCTATGTTCTACTTTGTGCCAAGCCCCCAAAAAATTAAGAATCTGTTTAGGAAATCAGAATTATATAATATGAATATATCCATTCAAATATGACCCATTTTTGTACCAACAGTGAGGAAAACCAGGGTGCTTAGGCATCCTTTCTGTTTCATCCAAGCTAGGAGCTATGATTAGTAGACTCTCCCCCAAAAAATCAGTTTCATAAACCAGCTGTCAATTCTGATGAACTAAATTAGGATTTATATCTTAGCATGGTACACAGATGTTGTTAATATCTATTGGATTACCTATTGAAGTATTCACTGGGCCTCCTATGAAACAAAATGAATGCAGAAAATAGGTTATTTTCTGGAATACAAGTTTTAAAGGGTCAAAGAATACACTGAGCATAAAAGTGAGTAGCCTAAGTCATAAACTGAATTAGATTTCATTTTAATTTCATTTAACATAATATGATGGGCCCATTTGTGCTGAAAGTGAGTGCTGAAGCCCCGCAGGTCCTGATACTACCCCCTACCCCCAGGTTGACTCTGGGTATCTGGGTTGTGTGTTTGGGATGCAGGATACCCCCTCCCTTAGGTAAGGGAAGCAGGAAGGCAGAGGCCAGGGTAATGAAATATCAGGGGGATTGGGGTAGGTTGTTACATCCAAGTGGTAATGAACAGAGGTAATTTCAATAGGAGCCAGAGGGTGGGCTTTACCTGGGGAAGATATCCCCGATGCTTAATACCAGTGGCTGTTCTGGCCCACTTTGTAAACTGTCAGTTCTTATAATCTTCAATGAAACAGAGAGAAGACAAGATATATTTGGCTCACTTTCACTAAACCTAAGATGGTCTGTATGTAATAGTATATTTCGATAGCGTACTTTTGCATTGTTATCATACTGCCTAGAGTCAGATTCATTCTTGGCTCATCATGGTCCCAAGATTTATATGACCTAGAAAATACGGGTGTGTGTGACAGTGTATTTATTGCATAATCTTCAGTGTATAGTCAGTGTATAGTTCTATAAATGAAAGAATTCAGGAAACCTGTTATGAGATAGAATGAAGAATCATAAATGTACTGTAGTATTTTATCAAGACTTTAAGAATTCCGTAAGACTATGAATCAGTTAAAAATAGTACCAATCTGGGATTAAAAAGTAAATATAAATGCCTAGGATATTAACTGCATTTGTTCTCTGAACTTTGTATTTAGCAGGTTGCCATGCTCCAGAGTTGGCCTGATTTTTTTTCCTCACTGTGAATTATCCTACATGCATCTTAATTTACATGCAATCTAGATGATTAAACTAAATTTAACTAAATGTTTAATTATTCAGATTTTTAATCCGTAGCTTAATCCATGATTATTTTTATCCCAAACAATTACTTCCATTGTTACAAGATTGCAGGACTTTGTTATTTTCTTTCTGGCATAATTATATTACATCTCAATTTTAAAGTGTGTAGATTGTGTATCCTTAATAACTAATTTAATTAAATATTCATTAATCGTATTATATATAGGAGATTTTGCATATGCAAGAACCTTACTTCAACTCAGATTGATTTAGTGGGTGTTCTCTAGTATAGAAGGAAAATCCAGTGATTCTGAAACCCATCCATTCGTTCATTGCTCTTAAAGTTGATGTCAGCTCTTAGCAACTACAGTACGTAGATTTTCTCCAGTCTGATTCTTCAGATCTTGCACAGTTGCACCCAGTGATGCTGTAATGGAGTCCATCTACCTTGCTGGTGATTATCATCTTCTGATTTCGTTTCCTGCAACTTCCAACATTGTAGGTTTCTTCAAAAAAATGGTCTTCGTCTAACATGTCCAAAGTGTTTTGAGGCTTGAATTAGAATTCGGAGTTGATTTATTTGATGATCCACTTGAGAGTTTTGATTATCCATAGTATTCTCAAGAAATTTTTCCAGCATCAAAGCATCAAAACTATTTCTATCTTACTTCTTCTAAGTCCAACTTGAACTTCCATAATGTTATGGGGAAATAATTGCCTTCATGATCCTGATCTCAGCATCTGAATGTCTTTTCCAAGGCCTTCATGGCTACTCTATCAAGTGTTAATCTGCAGAGTATTTCTTAAGTGCTGGTTCCTTTCTGTTAATACTTAATCCCAAGAGGAAGACCCTAGAGATGCTACAACCTCTGTCAATTCTAACCTGATTTCTTGACCTGTTGGCTTCTTTAATGTTAATCCATTTTTTCACTGTATTCCTTGACTTTCATTACAAAAGCTTGCAGATCATTTGCATTTTCAACTATTAGAATAGTGTCATCAGCATAGCCCTGGTTATTGATATTCAATATGGTTATTTTTCCTTCAATTTAAAACCATATTCATCTTCTTTTAATCCAAATTCCCTCCATATGTATTCTGCATATAGATTGAATAAGTAAGAGGAGAATATATGCCCTATTCATAATCCTTTCAGACCTGAATCCAGTCTGCTTTTCTATCTTCTGCTCTATTGTGGCTTTCTGATTTATGTATAGGTTTCAAACAACAAAATTGAGATGCTGTGGCTTTCTCATTTTTCTGAAGATGGTTCATAATGTGACATAAATCAAAGGCTTTTCGATATCGATGAAACACACATTAACGTATTTTTGTATTCTTTGACTTTCTCATTTGTGCAGGATAATGTCTTTTCTTCCTTGACCTTTTCTATGTCCATTTGAACACATGGCATCCCCTTTTCCATGTAAGGCTCTAATTGGATGATCCTAAGCCTTATTCTGTTTGGGTATGAAATTAAAACTATTGTATATTAGCTTGCTCATTCTGACCCCTATCTAAGTCTCTTTTTTCTATATTGGAATATTGATTTATCTCTTCCACTCCCTTGCTGACTCTGTCATTCTCCAGATTTGGTAGCATAGCCTGGTTAGATCATTTACTAAAAGTTTTATATTGCTTGCCATATTTC